GCTGACGCGCGACGCACTTCTACGCACGAACGGTGCAGAAAACGTGATCTAGAAACGTCAAAATACAGCAACGAAAACCGGTCCTGTGCAGGCCGATAGGTTTCGGAGTGGGGATCGGAAACGCGCCTTCGACGGTGCGCAGCGGCGAAGACTTGAACTCCAACAGGAAGGTGAACACAGAAAGAAAAGGAAAATAAAAGGCCTTGTAAACCTACATACAGAGAGCTAGCCGTCATCTGAGAGCTTCGCGATTGCCTCACACAATCATTTATCGTTTACAACACATCGTCACAGCATTTCGACGTCTCGTCCATCCCTTTCGGGGGAGATACCGTTCAGAACCCAGTAATTATGTGTCTCTGCCAATCGAAACTGGCCGCATCGACGTACGCGACATTTGAAGCTGAGCCGATTGCTTTCGAAGCCAGTTTACCCTCGCAGTACGTCCTCAGCGTGAAAGTCGTGATGCATATTTTTGGGCACCGGTGCGATTGAGATTCGCCTGCGGACCTCTTGGGCTACGTCGACCAGCTCCTCATCAATGTGCTGTGGGTGGGGCGAAATTCCTATTCTAGTGAGTATCGCCCTGCCTGCTGAAGTTTCACTTAGACGATTCCTCTGAGACATGAGGACTGCGGCACTGAGCTCAGCATCAGTATCATCTTGTACACAGCTAGAAACTGATGTGAAATGAGCTCTACCACAACCCACCCCACATTTAAGAGAGAGAGAGAGAAAAAAGACTATTGGACACAATGTGCCGGCAATTTGGTTTCGGTGGCGTTAGGTGGCGGCTCATTTAAGATTTTTTTTTTTTATCGTACTTCCTGTTTACTCCAGCATATTCTTTTTAATAGCGACTAACTTCTAAAAAAAAAAATAAAGAAGAGACGAGCTGTTGGCTTACTTTTGTTCGCATGGTCTGAGCCGCGAAGTAGCAGGACTCGAGATCCACATTCTGCTGCAAGAGTTCGTCTGCGATCCTCCAGGCACAGACCTGCAAGCAAGCACACACAGTGCACATGTTGTAAGACAGAGAACACGTGCAAGGTGGCTATACTCTTGTCAGCGAATTTCGAGGGATTCTCGTGCATCTGGGCTGAAATATTCAAATTATGACATCAGCACAGGCTCGGAAGACGACATGAACACTTTTGATTTAGGTGCATACGACGAGAGCTCGTCAAACTGCCCAAAACATCAGCGGTCGTCCAAGAGTGACTTCAGCTTTGTGCTTGGGCCTTGTTATTGCTGGTGCGCGTCGGTGTAAGTTGATCCGATGTGTTCTGAAGGTTAGGGCTCTTGTCTGCAGCGCATCCACTTCTTTCAGGCTGGACTACTTGCAGGCGACAGCGCAGGGAGTGCAGTTTCGTGCGTGGAGGCAGCAGAGAGCGAATCTTGGAGCCGCGTTACGTAGTGCCCCGCGGCGCTTCGTAAGCGGTGTCGACTCTGTTTTTTATTGTTCAAGTTATTGGAGAGCTATGCAACAGCATACATAAATATGCTTGGACGAATATTTTTCAGAAGCCGAAGTACAGCGAGAGAGACTGTTGTTGGAGGTCTCACAGTGATCTTGATGCTCCTACACGAAACTACGCTCCTCAGGGATAACGGCACCAGCCAAAAATATATATATATACATATATCAGGAACAGTGAATTATGCAATGAACAAGAAAACTTGAACAGAAAGCAAATGATTTCTTTGAAGCATGCATAGAAGACCTGTGTTTTACCACATCGCAAAACTGCTTCGCAGGGTGGTATGAAAGGCACCAAGTGTAATGGTATTTTATGTACATGAAAACTTTTGTATTTACAGAGCTTATATTTACAGGATAATCGTGTGTGCTTCTTGCGCTTAAAATGTATATTTCAATTTCTTTTTATGCTTAGCCTGTTCAGAGCAGTGTTAATGGTTCTATATAATTTCTTTGTTCATGTTTACAATGTTTTTCAATTGATGATTTTTTCATACCACTGTTAATATATTTGTGGTATCAAACTGACCGTGTTTGAAAAATAACTCCTGGCTGTATAATTCGATACCATAAACATTAATATCAGTAACTTTGGGTGCCCTAATAAAATAAGGTTTTCTGGACTACCCAATAACGGCCAAACTTCTTGGGGTCCCAAAAGTGTTAAAGGGACACTATACAAGCAACTATGAAGTCTACGTTGATTTTAGTTGAATTTTTTAATCACTCACGCCATTTCGTATAGTAACATCTGGCGGTTCTTTTTTCCTTGAATCAAACACAAACAAACATTATTTAAACATATAAACACAAACAAACATTAAACATATAAAGAAGCTCTCGTGCATCAAGAGATGCAATAAAACGCATCAAGAGATGCGTTTTATTGCATCTCTTGATGCACGAGAGCTTCTTTATTTAGTGCAGCTAGATCGATTACTAGTGATTGTAGGCAGTTCGTCTGACGACATCCGGATCATTTTGAGAATGTCCTATTGCGGCTCATGTGTTCTTGTGCATTTACCTTGATTTCTCCGTAAGTAGGGCACTGTTGTTGATAATACTGTCGTTTTAGATGTCATACATTGAGCTTTCATTCTGACGTAAATTATTTGACTTTAGTGTCCCTTTAAAGAGCACTCAGTAAATATAGCTCATTGCTGTGTGTTGCTTGTGGGAACTTTAAATGGTGTCAGTAAACCCCCCACACCCCTGCCCAAAAAACGAGGGTCTGTTTAACGGGCTTGACTACTCCGACATTCACAAGTGTTGTGTTTCACCTCCATCAAAATGAAAATGCTGTGGTAGGGAATCGAACCTGCATCCTTCAACTTAGAAGTACTACATCATGGCTTCTAGAAGCTTCAATGCATGTGATGTCACCTTTTATGTACCTCACTTGACAGTTTCAAACTTTGGGACCGCAAGATGCTGTATGTATTACATAAGCTTGTATTTGCCTTGCAATTACAATAGACTAGAACTTGGTGAAACAAGCACTTGTGATGGTTAAAATCCCACCATCCCGCAACAACACATGTGCACTAATTCCCAGTCTGGGAGGCTGACAAAGCGCCGTAAATGACTCCTCATGATGCATGTCATGCTTTTCTTCTATTTGTAACTGCCACTCAATTTCACAACACTGTTAGACGGCTGAAGCTGCACACATTCAACCAGACGGCAGTTCATATGACATATCTGTAGCTACTATAATGTATTATACCGAGTGAAATTTTAAATTTCATTGCTGCCTTGATTTTAGCCACCGATTAGACAATTCCCTCCCGATTCTTTCTACCACTTACAATCTATTGTCTGTACCTAAACCCCAATGCTTTGAACAGCATGGTGAAGCTTTTTACACGAAAGTGTTTCCAGCTGCTCCCTCCTTTTTTTCACAAGTACTACGGGTGTGTTCCAATACTTGCCGTAGACCACTAAGTGCACGGCTGCCATTTTAAGTCCCATTCCGATTTGATGAAGCCAGCAAAATAGACAGCTTCGAGATGACGGCATTGGAGACGAAAACGATGCAGGCTACTTCGCTGAGCCGCCGTCTTGTTAGGACAGCAAAGCCCTCAGATAGCTCGAATCTTACTGGTACAGTCATCTGCGCACAATCAGACGCTTCTCCAGGCAATTATTGCGAGCTACTTTTGTAGAGTTCAATGCGACAGAAGTAAAAAAAAATAACATTAACATCTGCTTTTCTTAGGTTCCTTTTCTCAGCGCGAGGTGGCGTCACATCGCATAGAAGTCATTCAGACTAGTTCCGTTCCTCGGACAGCATGAACTCGATGCTGCCTTCTAAGCTGTCAGCGTAGACTGTCTACGATGCTGCCCAGAATCGGAACACAGCCAACATTGCATGTCTGTCCTTTCGTACTTGGCTCGGCACAGCTTAGCCCACAACACTTTCATTCTGACCTCAAAGAACAGTAAAGCTGCCCCAAGTATTACGATAGATCTTTCCTTCGGCAATGTCATATATGAAAGTACAAATCTGTAATGACACTCAGCAGTCAAACGAGTTCAGTATTGAATCCAAATGAAGGTATCTATTGTGTTCTGCACGAGTTCCGCGCAAGACGATGCTGTTCATCACGAGCACTGTGCTCTTGGGTACAGGAAGGATGAGAAGAAATCCGAACAGCACAATACACTGCTGTCATCATGCTCTGATGTTGGTGGCAATAAAAGCAGGCTTAAAGGGTTCCCGATTGCGACATGACTCTAGCCGCTTTTTATCACCACCCAGTCTACAACCACTTGGAAATAAATGAAAAACAGCAGAGAATGTAGATCCACATGATTTCGTTCCTTTCCATTAACACAGTACTAGTTGAAATGGGCACGTTTATGTTTTCAATATCGCTATTTATTTATTTTTTCACATACTAGAACTGCGCGCTAGACGAATGAGCAGAACGTCTCGTCGAGGCAGCTTGCACGCGAAATCGGGGCCAGAAACTTGCACGTGACGGTCAGTTATTCGAAACAGTTGGGGCAATGAATTTCCTTTTGAAAAGAAAACGGCGTGGAATTTTTCGGATGTCGAAAAGGCCGACAGTGTCGCCAAGCGAAAGCGCCCAGAAGTAGGCTGACGCGCGACGCACGTCTACGCACGAACGGTGAAGAAAACGTGATCTATAAACGTCAAAATACAGCAACGAAAACCGGTCCTGTGCAGGCCGATAGGTTTCGGAGTGGGGATCGGAAACGCGCTTTCAACGGTGCGTAGCGGCGAAGACTCGAACGCCAACAGGAAGGTGAACACAGAGAGAAAAGTAAAAGAAAAGGTCTTGGAAACCTACATACAGAGAGCTAGCCGTCATCTGAGAGCTTCGCGATTGCCTCACACAATCCTTTATCGTTTACAACACATCGTCACAGCATTTCGACGTCTCGTCCATCCCTTTCGGGGGAGATACCGTCCCGAACCACCAAAAAAAACACGATCGCGCTAGCTTCGTTTTTCGCAGTGGTGAACATGAAAGTTGGAGCTCACAAAACTCACGGATCTCTGCAGTTCGCCGAGCCACACCGATGCTTTCTCCTTGCCCGTGGTGTCGGGTTGTGTGTACAGCGCGTGGATGGCTTGGACGACCGCTTGCAGCGACGGCATGTTCGCCGCGTCGTCCATTGCGACGCTGTCTGCGCACTCGGGTGAACGCAGCCTACACGTTCGCGCTGATTGCGCGCCCCGCCGAACGTCCGCAATTAAGCGTATCACGCTCGGAAAATGATTGAATGTCAAAGAGAGCCCCCATCAACTGCTAACCGCCATTAAACGAAGCTCCGCAGCAGTCTAATTTGTTTGTGCTATTTTGTTTTTAAACTCAAACGCACAAACTTGAATTAATTTTTTGCAAACTTTTAAGCTATTATATAAATTTTCAGTGGTATATGATTACGTGTTAAAATGAACTTAAAAGTTACAAAGCTTAAGTGCGGGCCTGTTATAAGCAACATGGACGACGACGGGTTGCCGATTATCGGTCCCGGCGTTGATTATGCCAAGGTAAATACAAAATCGTGCTTAAATTTCTAAAAGAAGCTATCAAGGAATTCTATTTGCTTGTGTTATTAACGTAACGAACATCAAGCTTCCCCGTTTGTTGTAAATGGCGCTATGTCCTATGAACACGAAGTCATTCATGCGTCCGTAGTGGGTGTATTTTAGAATAGTTTTTGGTCCGAAAAATCGGGTGCGTTGTCGGCTTGTAGATGGCCTTGAGGCGATTTTCGCGGCACTGCGTCTTCTTTCCACGCTTTGAATGCGACGTTGCGTTCCTGATGCACGGCCTGTGTGGCTGCAATTGTTCGCGCCAGTTTCGGCCTCGCGATGTCTACGTGTTTGCAGGTTCGTTCGTTCCGATCCTTATTGTCTACGTCTCCTTCTAGGTCCCGCCCATCCAACAGAAGCGAACTTTGGCTTTCCTCAACTACTTCCTGACAAGAACAACTTCATTTCTGAACCACTTTGCGACAGTTTGCGACGAGAAATTAGAAGACCTGCTCATCAGAATACAGCGACTGGAAGCCTCCATGTGCATCCTAGAGGCAAAGGTAAAGGCATTGAGCTGCGCAGTGACAGCATAATATTGTTGGTGATTCGTCTATTTGTCACGTAATCAACGCATAGTTAGTTCAATACCTGTGACACACGAGTCCTGTCAACCGCGCTTGGATCCATACGGATGAAGCTCTAATTGCTGCAGTTAACTACCGGCCGCGTTTGGGCATCTATTCTGCTCTGTTCTCTCAGAGCTCGAAAATACTTAATGTCGGTTGATTTTCAAGGTGATAGAGCATGCTTGTGCAAATATGCATGTTTGCACTAATGGTTATAAGTGTTATAAAATCATCGAAATTGCCCAGTTTGTAAAATCACGTGCTGATCCAGTGTGTTAGTTCACCAAGTTTGTTTGCTTTCTACTGTTTCAGCTATCTTCGATTCCTGGGCTTGAAAATGTAACAACCGGTGCCGCTGAAGCCAAGCCAGATGCACAAGACCGGCCAAATACGGCACAGGCCGCTGCCAATCAGTCGCAGCAGAAGCAGTCGAAAGGCTCCACGGTCGAGACAAATGCCGAACCCATCATGGCGGCAGACTCGGTGACGCAGCCTCCGGCCGCGCCAACGAACACAATCTCCAAGGATCCTAGGTTCTCAAAATACTTCAAGATGCTCAATGTTGTAAGTGACTCTGAAACCTTGCTGATATTCCTGCTGAGGCAGTGAAAAAGCAGTGTACTTCTTGTTTTATAGCTGCGGCACCACATTACATATGCAACATAATGCCTACTAGAGACGATAGTGACAGTGGGTCAGATAGTGACGAAATTAAGAAGCCCACCGACATAAAATGAATAACCTAACACAGGATAGCGCCAATTTAAGATCACTGGGGACACCTGCTTAAAGTGTGTGTTAAAGGATTACCAACGTGAAATATATATACTTTCAGATTGTTGCTTTATCGAAAAACACCAGTGTCGAGAACCCTAAAAAGACTAATATACTTGCTAGAAATGCATGTAATATAGTTTAATACCCCTTCCTTAGAAGAACAGCTACAATTTCGATAATGAGAGGGCAGCTTCTTAGCGACATCATGGCAGTGTGACGTCATTAGGTGACAATCATTCTTGAATTACAAGGCCACAATTCATAATTCAATGCAAACTCTTTCGTCTCATCATCAACATACGCTTCATGGACATGCATAGATTTCTTGCACATTACTGTTGGCAGGCGATACTAGTATTCATCGTTCGTTTCTGTGAATGCAGGGTATTCCTTTGGGCGCTGTTCAAATCAAGATGCGTCAGGAAAACGTGGATCCCAGCATACTAGAGTAAGTTGGTGGCTTATTATTTTTCTTTAATTGATGTTTTTCGTGCACCTGTGTTTTCTCTCTGTTCTGCACTCATCAGTATCTTGCCTCTAATAAGCTTGCTTTGTTAGTTTATCGGGGTAACACGTCCAGGGTAGCCCTCGCTCAACGGTGTTATCAGAGGCAGTGCATGGCAGAACATGCACTGCGTGCACATAGAATGTTTTGTTCGTGTATTTACTTGTTCGTTAACGTACTGTCAGAGCCAAATACACAGATAGGAGCAGGCTACAGTGCAATGATGCATACATAAAAGCCTAAATTACTAATCATGAATTCTATTTACAGAACATTTGCTGAGACATTTTCGAAGGGTGATTATTTATTTTAAGTGTTTCTTGTGCAAGAAGGCAACTCCTCTGTTGTGAGTCATGACAGCCCTCTTATTAGTGACCGGAAAAAAAAAAGATAGCATTTGATCTGCAGAAAGAATTTTAATCTTTCACACATAAGCTAAGTTTGCTGAAGTATGCTGTGAAGGCTATATGAACACATTGCAGAGTTTTAGATGATAAAATCTTCCGTGAAAACGATCTTATTGAATAACTTGAAACATGAGAGGTCAAAGGTTGATATCTGGAAGACACGCTTTCTGTTCTGTTATCAGTAGTTAGGAAGAGTGAATCTGAAGGCGTTTGAGAGATGCATGGTGTATTTGGCTGCACCAGCAGTATTCAAAGCAAAAGTTCCAGCAATGCTTCCAAGCCAACGAACAGTTGTGCAGACATGCTTGACATGTTGTTTTGTCCAACTATTTACCATCTGTTAGACAATCATTTTCCCAACTTGAATGTTTTTAACCATAATTTGTTCACCTTTGCTTGGGTTCGTGCAGACAGCTGACTGCTTTCAAAAGGAGGATGCTCTTGCCTGCAAGTGTTCAAGTGCTTATTATTTGTGGGCCTTGCAGTAATCCCGATGCACCGGCGCCCCCTGGTGCTCCAACATCTCCATGTCCGGCGGACGGCAACACCACCGACGACAGCAGCCTCGGCGATTGATGCGGCAAAGTTCCATGTTAGCATTCACATTCCACGTGCGGCAGCCTCAGCCACCCGGCTGGATGAATTCGCACCAAACAGGGCCGCCACGCTCGAACCGACGTTCATGGGGCCTCGAAGCACCCGTAAAGGCAATTTTCAGTGAGCGGGTGTCACCCCAACTCGCTGTGCATAGTGCTCGACCATAACTTAACCAACCTGTAGTGTCTTGGGGCTTGACCGCCTTTGCTAATGTGTAAGGATGAGCTTCGACAGTCAGTTTCAAGCATTATTTTCACCGGTTCAGACAGCTATATACGCTAGAAGTGTTTGTGTTTACCAAAAAACAAACCTTAAGTTTTTTTGTACAGTGATGGTTCGAGTGTAGGAAATTGTGCTAATTGAGCGCCGCGTCAATTGTCTCGAACCAGCCATTACGTGATGCACTAACCTTGTTGTATTTATAGTTCTGTATTGGAAGTATAGCTTGTGATATATTTTGCTGAAAGACTAGAGAGTCTCGCGTCAATAAAGCTCTGTTTATACCGGTTAAATGCAGTCCCCTAAATGAGCATCAGAGAATTGATTTTTCGTAAACTGTTGTGTTAAAAATGATCACAGGGTGTGCTGCTGGTTCCTAATTTTTTCGTGCTGCTGGCTTTTTTTTTTTTTTTTTAGCCTGCTGCCTTATGGAGCAGCTAAGGCTAGATTCAGATTTACACACACATTCATCTGAATATTCATTTGTGATAGCAAGAAGGCTAGCAGCATTTTCGTAGGTTTGTTAGCAATCTCGATTGCTTCACTCCGTCATCTGTGTTTCTGCATGGATGGTGAAAGGCCACTGCATTACCATTCCTTTGAAATAAGTTGTATTGTCAGATGCATGCCATGTAGTTGCAGTCTTGTGAGCGATTTCATGTAACTAATTGCAACGTGAAACATTTATTATAATTTACATAGCTGCTCATCTTGTGTGTGCTTATTGTTTGTAACATGGAGTGTCGTCTGGAGGTTATGTTCTTGTGGTGTGTAATTTTACTAAGTGAGAGTCACTTCGTTGTGTTTTACCATCGCAGGGATGTTCGGTGCTTCCTCGGAATTCTTGTAGGTGCTTAACACAAACGTGTTAAAGTCTTGCATGAAACATTTTAGAGTGACACAACTTTCTGGAAGTTCCTCTTTTGTACTTGCTTTCAGAGCGTAAGTGAATACAATACTCGTGCGTGTGTCCCCACAAGTAGCTTCGATTGTGCTGGAAATGTGGCGTCCTAATTGTCGTTACCCAAAACGAGGTGCTTTGATTATAAAGCCTTCTGCGTACCATCTTATTCCCAAGTGGCAGCAGGCAACAGTGAAAATGTTAGCAAGTTCCTCTAGTCCATGTTATTCCTGCATTGCCCATCATCGTTCCCCGTGTTTACTAGACGGCACACATCTAAAGTCACCCGCCCACCATTTAGATTCCTTTTTTTTTTAGGCATTTAGCATGTTGGTCATGTAAAATCGCCCTGTTAAGAGCTTGTCACATCTCATTATGATTCCATATTTTACAAACAGTAATTGCCGTTCGTGAATGCATATACACTCTAACCTAATTATAATGAAGTAGCATCTTACACGAAAGTAACTTTATTATATCTGAAAATTTATTCAGAATTACAAAGGTTTATTCCTTACATCATATTTATTGCAAGGTCATTTACCATTTACTTCGTTATAACCGATATTTCGTATTATCCGAGTTTCTTATACAGCCAAACCCTTTTATAAGAGACCCTGATATAAGAGACAAATGGGTATAAGAGGCGCCAGTGTGTCTAAAGTAAAATACGGGTTGATAAAAAAATGCATAGGAGGTACACAGCTTATAAGGGACATCTTGTATAAAAGACAAGAATCGCTGTCTAGAGCTTGACTCTTATAAAGGGGTTCAACTGCATCGAGGTTTGAGTATATTCAATGTCACTAAAGTAAAATACGGGTTGATAAAAAAATGCATAGGAGGTACACAGCTTATAAGGGACATCTTGTATAAAAGACAAGAATCACTGTTTAGAGCTTGACTCTTATAAAGGGGTTCAACTGCATCGAGGTTTGAGTATATTCAATGTCACCTGCACGCTTTGCAAAAGTTTTACTTGGTGTACTCATTCACTCAAGGAAGCACTTCATTAAGATCTCATTAAGCCTAGCTTCAACTGGACGAAAAGTTGGTATTTTGTCTAAAATGCATAGCACTGGAGTGAATTTGACGCTTCTCCGTAATGTAACGCCTTGCTAGAAAGCTCGTGAGATTGTTCCATAGTAGAACGGACCTCAAACATTCCGTTACCATGCGGCTGTTCGTCACCGGTGTATTTTGTAGGTCTTTGTTTGAAGGGGCAGACATTTTTCGTGTTCAGTAAGCTAGCTGGAATATTAAGTCGTTGTAGGATTTGATCATAGAGTTCAACTGGAGCAGCACAGAGGTCACAGCGGGAGTGCTTTGTGTTGAGTCAAAAGATGTGTTAATAGCATGCATGATGTATGCAGTGGCGTTCCTTCTCAGCTGTGATTGCTTATTTTGCTTATGGTCCAATTCCCTTTCTCCCATACTCTCCATCTATTGATTTTTTTTTAAATTGGTGAGCTTGAACTCTACTTAGCTACATGTTTAGGCATCATCTCAAAAAGTCCAAGCAATCTAGTTGTCTTTCCAGTATAAACAGGGTAGAATCAATTTGCTTTTATTTTTGGGTTTTTCTCCCAAAGGCAACATTTCGATATAGAAAATCACCTTATGAAAAAGTTAACAGTAGTTAGATCGCCCACTGACTGTCTGGTTTACAAAAACTATTATTGTACAGTGCCACTACTTAACGAATATGTGTTTGGAGAAATGAGACTTTCGTAGTTTGAAAACATAAGTGTTTTAATATGTTCTGTGTATCTAGGATGATGTAGCCATACCACATAAACTCCCGATTATTTAGTTTGGTCATTGTTCTGTACACATTAAAAAAACTGTTTCTTTTTAAGCTACTTATGGTAAAGTTCTACGATTCATGCCACGACCCCTAACTTACTATAGAGAGCCTCATGTTGTAAGCTGCATTTTGCGCAAGCGATTGAGATACTAAAAACACTTGTTTTGGTCATTGCAGCCTCTTGCACTACTGGTGTTTTTCATGTGCCATTCTACTTTTTTTCTTTTTACATCCTAAAGCAAGCATGTAATTTTATGTTCACTGTCAGTAATTGTAATGTGCTCTACTTTACATTTCGAGGCTAATCAAAGAGTTGATTTCTCCATCTTGTCCACTCTAATTCTCAACTGCAAGCGCAGCTTGTTGCAAATGCTCTTTTCCTGTTCTAACAACACTACCATCTATTGCATCAGCAAGGGCTCTTCAACTGGAGTTCAGATTTGGGTGCACGTTAAAGAACCCCAGGTGGTCGAAATTTCCGGAGCCCTCCACTACGGCGTCTCTCATAATCATATGGTGGTTTTGGGACGTTAAACGCCACATATCAATCAATCAATCTTAAACTGGAGTTATGTAGTGCAGGCTGGTTTTACAATGTAGCAGCTCGGACATTTCGCCCCGCCGCGGTGGTCTAGTGGCTAAGGTACTCGGCTGCTGACCTGCAGGTCGCGGGTTTGAATCCCGGCTGCGGCGGCTGCATTTCCGATGGAGGCGGAAACGTTGTAGGCCCGTGTGCTCAGATTTGGGTGCACGTTAAAGAACCCCAGGTGGTCCAAATTTCCGGAGCCCTCCACTACGGCGTCTCTCATAATCATATGGTGTTTTTGGGACGTTAAACCCCACATGTCAATCAATCAATCAGCTCGGACATTGCCCGATCATATTCACCTTCCCTGTATTTGAGCTAGAACGAACCAAAAAGGTACACCTCACAGGCTTCCCATGCGAGCATTTCAAGTTCGTTGCCACAGTGACTACCAACATGGTTGCAGAAGCACCGCGACCTCCGTGTTATTCAATCATACTGAGTTGCGAAACTCCCCTTAGGCTCTATGTATCGAAATTCGGACGGCCATTGGTCCAGATGTCTGGAGTGGGTAAACTCCCTAGAAGTAACTAAAGTAGTGCGGTTCGTGTCAGTGTGCAGGCACGCCCTGTCCCTTGTGCTAGGTAGTCTAGGTAGTGCTAGCGGCATGTTGTTTGTGCTTGGTCACATTTTATTTTGCTTTCCACGACGACAGCGGCTTACTCTCCTGTGCGCCGGGAGAGGGTATGCCTGTGTCTGCAGTTTCTTGCTGGACGCTGTATAGGGGCGCTGCTGCAGCTGTTGAGAGAGGAGGCAGAGGCAAAGGGACACAGTTGGCACTACTTAAATTTTTTAGGGACTTTAGGTGTGTGCAGATTGTTGTGTCACCTTTTGATTAGCACACCAACTATTAAATGAACTTGTTTGTTTTTGTGTTGCCGTTCCTAGATGGCGTGACAGTCTGCTTATTCCCACAAAATCGGCAAATTGCCTGTCCGGGTTTTGAACGCAGTTTCACAACTAGTAAGACAATAATTCTGGTGGTTGGTTCTACGCATCTTTGAGGCTTAAGAAAGTTCCCCTTGTGGGAACAGTTGCACAACAGATTGAACGGAGGTGCCGTACTTACGGTCATCCGTCGAAATTTTAAACTGCCCCTGAACCTCGCAGAAAAATCAATGCTGCTTCGCGATGACCCGGTGGCTGTACCCTCAAAATCAATGCTCAATATTTATTACTTTCCTTAGATCACAAATCGATCCAGCTGTGGACTCCTCTGAAGGGGCTCGATGTGAAATTTGGTATCACACATATTTTAGTCACTCAATTTCTGAATGTGTTGTATGCATTTGAGCAAAACTATGCGCAAGGCGATATACACGTGAAGCGGGTTTTTGTTCTCTGCCCTGTTCTGTTGGACATGTCTGAAGACTGGTGCAATAGAGCAAATGCTGTTGCCGCATTGTGATATACTCTGAGATGACGGAACCAGTTTCTGTGTTCCTCCACACTTCACAAGACGTGAACAAGTGGATGGGCTGTTTATGGTTATGTAACAAGAAAAAGAATACATGTCATTGAATCAGCTGGACTTGTATTTTTCTGTAAACTAGGAGACTAACAACTCAAGCATTTAGATACGACAAAGGAAAAGCTATTTTTAAACATTAAATCAGATATGTGGATACTGTTGAAAAGTTGCCAAATGGAAAATAACCAATTTGATTAGTCTTTCAAATAAATTATGGAAACTCATCTTCATTCCACTGCTGCACATTACTGCGGTACATTGTAATGCACCCCAATAGAACACTTCTAATAAACCAACCTAGGTAGGGTGAACTTGTGCCCTAGAATAAGAAACGGCTACAACGAAGATTTGTTAAGCAGTGCCGAGAACTCGCTTCTATTGTTTTTCTTGGTAGTAGTAGATTTAGTAGTAGCCCTGGCTTCATGTCAATGGCTGCAAGGACAGACTCTACGTCTTGCAAATCAGACTCGTTGGTTTCGAAAGTGCGCAGCTCTGTAACCAGGACGACATCATTCATACTGGTACTGACGGTTCACTTTGCAACGTGTTGCGCCTCATTTTCAAGAGGAAAACATTCGTACATCCTTCACATAACTTAACAAGGCCTCGCGCCATGCAGATCCCTTTTTGGGGTATCAAGGCGGTGTCAGCAAATCCTTCGAATTCTTTGAATGCTTTTTTGGTCACTGTGGGAAATATGCTCGATCTTGGCGCCACTATGACGTCGACATCTGCAATAAAACGGTCATATACGTAGCAATAGCGTGCCTAGTTGAATGAGACAGACGATTCTTGCAAGTTGATTACAACGCTGTTAGCTCGTAAGAAATCCATGACGATAGTGAAGTCTCTTGAGCATTCCGCTCAACGCCTCTTGAGCACTCCGGCATCTCAATGAAACTGGCGACGTACGTAAGACCCTGTATTCTGATTTTTGCTATCCATACTACAGTTGGGTCGATGGGGTGCCCTCCGGCTGGGAAAATTCGTGGTTCCTCCTAAGAAGCCAGCACTTTCTTCGGTATTTTAGACAGCCCGCTACTTACCTCTAAATAACGTGCGCCTGCATCCACCAGTGCGATGACTTCGTAGCCGTCAACCAACACACGTAAATTAGAAGCAGCGTCATTAACGAAACACCGGTTTTCGAGACGGTTGTCGTTAGAGTCGGCGATAGAGTTTTTTTTTTTTTTTATTCTCACCGAGGGCGCTCTTGCCTCCACAGGTCGCTGACTATAGTTTTTCTGACGCGGGCTTGGGGAACGATACCTTGGGGAGCTTACTGAAGAGCGGGGCCTCGGCGATCTATGCCTCCCCATGGTCGTTGCTCGAGGTCGGTGTTTTTAGAAACCACGTGAGCTTTCAACACTCGACAGCTATTCTTCCACTTCAAAGGGGTGCGCACCGTTTCGTAGGTCGAGGTGCATTGACGGGCAAACCACATAGTCCTGCCTTGCGGTACTGGCACGTTTGGTAGAGGATGACCGCTTCACGCCTCGCTTCAGATGACGCAGCTTCCTGTCTTCACTCATATTTAGATCCGCTCGGCGAAACAGGTGAGACATTTCTTTCACATACATGGCCACACTTTAGTTATTGCGCCGATTTCTTGTCTGGAGCGCAGCTGCGGATCTTTCTTTGCGATCTGTATTCAGGAAAGCAACGAGCAGCTCACGTCGAAAGTCTTTCCACGACTGGAAGGCAGCTTCATGGTTTTGATGCCACGTTGGTGTGCTGTCTTCCAGCACAAAGTAAATGCTTCCAAGTTTGCGATCTGCCCCATTTCCATTAGTCTGTGCGACGTGTTCAAAGTGTTCAACCTGGTCCTCTGCGTCCTCATAGCTGTCACCGTAGAAAGGCTTGGGTAGCATCGGCTGGTTCTCTACAATGTTAGCTGCATGTCGGTTGCGTGCCCGTTCACAGCCGTTGAGATTCAAAGGGAAGTCGACAAGGGTGAAAATTCAGGACCCTCGCCACTTAGGCGTCGACTGCAGCGATGATTAACAGGGGTCAGCTCGTTGGATTCCAAGTCGCTGTGGTTCTGGACTTTGTTCCATCACTCGAGAGGGGCTTGGCATCACACTGTAATGGGTAGGAAGTTGATGATGGCATCCCACCGCTGCCACCAGTTGTTAAGAGCTCGGGACCGATGGTAGGTACGGCGGGTTTCTTTACGGTAGCTCGCTCCCCGCCGTCGTCTGCATAGCTTATCTTCGCTAGTGAGGAGATGCGCTCGTAAGAGAGATAGAACGAAGATTTATTTACATGATAGATGAAAGATAGTAACTGTACAGGGATCCAGAATATCCCGCATTATGTACAAGAGAGATTCAGTTCATGATTCATCTCATGATTCCACATAATGTCTGCGGCTTTTATGGCCCGCCGTCTCCTTACACGGAGTTCCGAAGGAGGCAGTCACCACTCTTGTCACTAATCAGGTGACGAAGTTTATGTGGTCCACCCACCAGAAAGGGTGCAGATATTGCACCACTCGGCTGGGCGAAAAGGTCCAATGGTAGCACAAGCGCACCACATAATGATGCACCCGGCCCACGCCTTGGAGGCACCACAGAGCGAGGATGTAGAGTCCAGAGAGGGAAAGCTGAGCTCCTCCGGGGAGATGGTCGCTGACCCGAAGGTCAGCAGCGGTCCATGGCTGCTTTCAGCTACCGGCTTCCAGAACCCTCTCGAACATGGCAGCGCAAACGCTCGACTCCTGAGAACGGCTTCTTCGACGCGTTCCGACACTTTCGGGCTGTCGGTACTTCGCGATGGCCTCGCGTAGATGACAATAGCCGAGTCAAGAGGTTGTCTTAATGAGACCAGTCACAGTGGCTGCCGTCCCACGCGGTCCGAGCCCATTCGACAAAAGCCTTGTCTCACGAATCTTTCGCTGGGACTCGACTGCTTCCTGGAACATCTACAGGACAGCGTGTTGCAGACTGGGCGCCGATGGGGTTGAAAGCATCCCTAGCAGACCGGCTTACGCACAATGGCGTCTGCCCAGATGAACTGCCGGTCCAAACGTAACAACACCTGGCACATCCGCCAAATTTCTAACACACAGTAAAAAAACACTTTCTATAAACCAACGTAGGTTACGGTGAACTTGCACCCGAGAATAAAACAAGAGTTAACGCAAACCTTTTTGCAGTCCCGAGAATTCACTTTTTAGGGGCAAAACTCCTTATAACGGCACCCGTTCGTCCCCCGTAGTATGTAACAAGTATAACATTTTGACCTCCAAGGTGGTGCCGGTGAGAAACTTCTTCTGTGCGTTGTTGAACAATAAAAAATAGTGCTCAATGTACATGTCAATGGCTGCTAATGAGGAATGAGAGACAGGAGCATTCGGCTTTTAGTTAACGCGCAGGCTGCGATCACCATTAGCAGCCATTGACATGTACATTGAGCACTATCTGACAAGAAAGGGTTGCTACGTTATACTCGCTGGGTGTAACCTCCTTAGCTTTAGAAAGGTTTAGCGAGCGCTGAGCCGCAGTGCCATGAATACAATGAACTTGTATATACCATGAATGAACTCGAGGTGGTTAAAAATGGGAAGTAGATACGAAGCGCAAGCCGTAAGAAAGTAAAAGCCGAATTCTCCGCCTCTCATTTCCCATTAGCAGACATTGGCATGTACATTGAGCACTATCTGACTGAAAAAGTTTGCTACGTCATACTCGCTGGGCGTAACCTCCTTGGTTTTCGAAAGGTTTAGCGAGCGTTCGGCCGCAGTGCCATGAATACAGTGAACTAGTATATACCATGAACTCGAGGTGGTTACAGGTGGAAAGTGGACCCGAAGCGCAAGCCGTAAGAAAGTGTGCGTGTGCCACCTCTCGTTTAGTCCTTGGAATGTCCGCTGGATGGCGGTGCTTCTATATGGGGAATATAGAAGCACCGCTCAGTGTATAGAAATATCTAAAATAGAGAATAGGCCCTTGTACGTGGCTTTTCTAGACATCACTGGGGCATACGACAACGTTAATCAGGAAATTTTGTCGGATATATTGAAAGGAATGGGCATGGGCGACGACTGTATACAGCTTTTGGGGGAGATATACCGAGAAAATACAGTTTGCATAGAGTGGGAAGGAATGCGTAGCAAAGAGAACGTTGAGGTTAGCAGGGGTCTGAGACAGGGATGTCCTTTGTCCCCGCTGCTATTCATGCTGTACATGGTGAGTATGGAAAAGCGCTGGAAGGTAGCACATTGGTTTTTAATCTGTCACACAAACAGGGCGGCATGATGATTGAGCAGAAGCTTCCAGGTTTATTTTATGCGGACGATATCGTCTTGTTTGCGGACAGTCGAGATGATATACAGCAGCTGGCGAATATATGCGGAAGGGAAGGTGAAGCTCTTGGACTAGGATTCAGTGTAACGAAGTGTGGATTGATGGTATTCAATGATCCCTGTGATCAGACGGTGTCCATACAAGGCCAAGAAATACCGAGGGTAAGTGAATACAAGTACCTTGGAGTATGGGTAAATGAGAGTGATAGATACATGGAGGTACAGGAAAAAGCCTCGGCAGCAAAAGGAAAGAGGAATGCGGCAATAATGAAGCACAGAGCGTTGTGGGGATACAATAGGTATGAGGTGCTTCGAGGTCTGTGGAAGGGTGTAATGGTTCCAGGGCTTACTTTTGGGAACTCAGTGGTGTGCATGAGGGCAGAGGTGCAATCGGGAATGGATGTAAATCAAAGGACTGTGGGACGCCTCGCGTTGGGTGCTCACGGGAAGACGACAAACGAGGCTGTAAAGGGCGATATGGGGTGGGCAGGTTTTGAGGCGAGGGAAGCGCAGAGCAAAATAAGGTTCGAAGAAAGGCTAAGAAATATGAAGGAGAGTAGATGGGCAGAGAAGGTGTTCCGTTATTTGTATAGGAAGAGCGTGGACACACAGTGGAGAAAAAGAACTAGAAGACTCACTAGTAAATATACGGCTGGTATTGTGAGCCATATGTCAACAAAGAGCGTTAAGGGAAAAGTCAGGGAGGCGGAGAGGATTTACTGGATGGCAGCTATGGAGAAAAAACCGGCT